CCGCTCTCCCGGCCCGGGCCTCGGGGACCCGCCAGCGCCGGCCCAGCCCTTGCCCGGCTGGAGGCTTGGGTCTGGGAGGGAGCAGCCAGCCGCTTGTGGGGGGAAGTCGTGGTGCTGGGGAGATCCGGAGAGAAGTTTCCTCTGCAGGTGTGTGAATGTGAGTGCGTGTCACTGTGTGTCTGAGATGAGTGTGTGAGGTGTCACCGTGTGGGTCTGTGGGTGATTGTGTGTGCCAGTGAGTGTGTGCGTGTGTCCCTGTGGGTGAGTGTGTGTGCGTGTTAGTGGGTGTATGCGGTGTGAGTGTGGAGGCTGTTGCTGTGCATGTGTCTGTGGACATGTGAGTGAAGGAGTGTGTCTCTTGTCACCGTGTGTGCCTGTGCATGTCTGTGTGAGTGTATGAATGGATATGTGTGTGCCAGTGTGACTGTCTCTGTGAGTGAGTCCCGGTATCTGTGCCCTGTGTGAGTGTGTGTGTGTGTGTGTGTGTGTGGCTGTGTGAGAATGTATCTGAGCAGGGTTCACTCTGAATCACCCACACCTGTGCTTAACCCCCTCCCCCATTCTTGGTGGAATATGGGACAGAGAGATGAGACTTTTCAGAGGTCAGATCATCCCTTCTCCCCAGAGACCCTTCACCCCTAACCCAGGCAAGAGCTTCGTGGCACTCTCCACCTTGGTCTCTACCTTCGCCTACCTCCGGGGTATCCTCTGTGATGCTACTAGTTGTGTCCTTCCTGCATGCTGAGGCCCCAGGCGATGGGAGGAGTGCCTGTGTGTGCTGCTGCTTCTTGGGTTCTGGGAACTTGTGTCATCTCAGCACAGTTTCACCGAGGGCCCTTTCGAGCCGGGAGCTGAGGAGGCCAGGTGGAAGCGGCTGTCCTGTTGTTAGTCCTCAGAGCAGGTGGCTCTCTCCCAGACTTCCAAGCCCCAAATCTCTAAGCTCTGGGTCATTGGTTCAGTCCACTGGCTCCGGGTGGTTCTGTGCTAAGCTCTTGGAAGTAATAATAATAATTTTTTAAGTGCCCTCTTATAAGTCTAGGGCTTTAAAAAATGCTGTCCTCTCACTTTTCCTTTTTATTTCCTGAACAGCCTTGGGAAGCGGGCAGGGCAGGCGTCAGGTTAAGCCATATGAAATTGTCAATATTCAACAGTTTTTTTCCCCTACAAAAACAGCAGTTTCACATGGTTCAGCCTAATTTAATGCCAATTTACAGATGAGAATGTTGAGGTTTGAGCGATGAATTGCATTTCCCACAATCACACAGGGCTAGTCAGTGGTATCGAAAGACTCCAACCCAGGTCTTTGGGTGACCCAAAGAACTGGGCTGGGCCAAGGTTAGAGAGTGGTACTCTCTGGGGTGCTCTCTCTGACCCTGGGAGCACTGCCCTTTACCTCTGCCTAGCATTCCCTGAATGCCGGGGCTACTTCTGCACCCAGCTGCCAATGCCTAAAAGGGAGAGAGGGGGAGAAGAGAGGAGGGGGGAGGAAGAGGCTTCGTGAGTTGGCAGTGAATCAGGGTCTAAAAAGGGAGCTGGAAGGGCTAGGGTGGCAGGTGTTTCTAAAAGGAACATGAACATAGGATGAACAGCCTCAGATACAGCCCCCACATCCCCCTGCCCCCCACTGCCCCACTGATCTGGCAGGCAGTGCCCACTGCATTTTGTGCCAGGGGGCTCACGTCCAAGGAGTGAGCTTGAATGTAGCTATAGAATGATGCCAGAAGAGGAACCTTAGAATTGATTTGGTCCAACTTCTTTATTACAAACTGGAGACCCTGAAGCCCAGAGCAATGAGGGGACTTGCCCAAGGTCACACAACAAATGTGTGGGTTCCTAGGCTAATCTTAGTCCAGGAACCTTTTGACCCTCCATGTTATCTTCTATACTTGAACTCCCTCCACACCCTTCAGGGCTGAGTATAGGGGATTTGGGGAAAAGAAATGGAGACTCAATAAGCCGAAAGCTGTAAGTCCTTCAACTAGGGGCCTCTTTCTGAAGAGAGGGATATGTTTCTGGGGCTGTGAATTTCTAACCATGCCTGCCGTCAAGGGCTTGTCTTGGTTTCTGCTGATGTGGGGCTGGAGCTGCTACAGGCCAGACTCCCAGACTTTCTCTGTCAGTGCCTTCAGCGGCTGCCTGGTACCTAGCATCATAGCATCATCCCTTCCCACTGATGTTGGGGCTTGAGCTGGCTGGACTAATTTTCCTTTATCCCACACAGTTTCTGATGCAATTTGCCTCTAGCTGGACTGACCGTGCCTTATCTTACTGGGTTCCTAATGGGTAGAGAAACTTCTGGGGTTTGTCTGATTTAGGAAGCTTCTGCCGTTACCCCTCAGTCTTTTCTAATGAAATCTTCCAGGAGTCTAGGGCAAATGATAACATGATTGTCCCCATTTTACAGGTGAGGAGACTGAACTTTAGTGAGAGGCCTCCTATTGGGTTGGTTATCAGGGGTTTTTTTGGAGTGAGGTGATGTCAGGAGCACATGACAACAAAAGCTTTCGTCTAGCGGGGGCTTCCAGAGATCCCCTCCAGTGTCTTACCATCCCCATGGTCGGGGAATCTTCCCAGGTTCTGATTTCAATCCCACTTGGTAGAGTCAAAGCTTCATCTCTCAGTGGGGGTTGATAAAACAGCTGTGTACCCTCCTCTATGCAAGCATGATGTCTCGATTCCCTCTTTATCCACTCCCCCTCCAGTCTGAAGGCTGCTGGCTCAGCGGGCCTCCTGCCGTCTGGGGAGTCTGAGTTTGAGCTGGGGTGAGGCGGTGGCACCATCGTTATGGTAACGAGCTGCCAGCTCATCGTTGCTAATAACTTGTCAGGCCCCTGGGCTCAATGCAGCATCCCTTCCTACCAGCTCTTCTTCCCATGTCACAGACAGAAAAAACGAGGCTAGGAGGGAGGGGCCTGGAAATAACAGGATCTGGGGAGGTGGGTGGCCTTGTCCCTGGGACTGTAGCTGGAGATCTATGGGGAGTTTGCTTGGGGCTGGTTTACACATATGATTACATAGGTTTATGTATGATTGCATGGGGTGTTAACATGTGAAAGCCTCAGAACATGCTTATGTAAACTTGTACATGCTAGCTGACATGTTCATGTGTTTTTACACAGCAGCTCACAGGCAAACATGCTTCCAAGCATCAGGACATGCTTGTGCATGAATGCTACCTCCACCATCTGCACATAAGACACTCAAGAAATCTGGGTTTGTGGGGGTGTCCAGGTATGTGGGTGGAGATCTGATCTTTTTCTGATGCAACTTCAAAGTGTCTTGTTAACAAAGGGACACAACGGTCCCAGGGTTCCTTCTTCTTTCCAATCAAGAGCTCAGGGTGGGAGTGTGCTGGGGATGCTTTGGGGGTCTCAAGCTCCCAGCTCCCAAAGGCCCCTGCCTCTGTGCCCTCTGAGGTCTGGTAGCCCCTACCCCCTCACTCTCTGTTCTTTCTCATCCTCTTCTCTTCCTGTGTGTAAATATTAAAGAGCTGAGCCTGCAGGGCTGATGTAGACATGGGGAGAGAATGAAATTAAAAAGGATTCCCTCGCCCCCATCTCGACACCCCCGCCCCGCAGTCCCCCGCTCCTGCTTCTTCCCCTCTCCCCTCTCCCCTCCCCTCACTCAGTGCTTCCACATGTCTCTCCTCCCCCCAGTCCAGATGGGAGCTGGCTCCTTCAGAAAGGGGGCTCAGAACAGGGTGTGGGGAGCTATCTCTCTCTGTCTCCCCCCACCACATCTGCCTACAGGGCTGGGAGCCCCCACGTGAGTATTTCTTTATTTTTGGGGTGGTGGTTAAGAAGGAAAGTGGTTTTTAGAACCAGCTGTGAGTGGCGTTGAGAGGCTCTGGGCTGGAAGGAGGTGGGTGGGGTCCTCTTTCAAGGCTCCCTCAGGGAAGCCCCGTGTCTGGGTATCTTTTCTCTCTTGGGACGTAGAGGGAAGGGAGGGGTATCAGGTACCCCCATGGATGGGAGAGTGGGAGGGGCAGGGGGAGAGGGGTTTCTGTTCTAAAGAGGATATATGGTGGGGTGAGCCTGCTCCTTCCTGACATCCTGGGTGTCTGGCAACGGGATCGGGAGAGGCGCTGGGAACTGTCCCGGGTGCTGAACGGGACGCGGCAGGGATTTGCTCCTTCGGAGCTGTCCCGAGTGCTGAACGGGGCTTCGTTTGGGCCCGATGGTGGAAAGGTGGCTGGGCAGTGGGGAAGGCTCACTAGGAAATTCTCCCAGATGACCCACTTTTCAAAGGCAGAGTCCCTGGATGGAAATATAGAGTCTAGGGTCCCCGCTTTGGCATTAGATCTCGCAGTTATTAGTGGTCTCTGGGAACCCTTTGCCGAAGGAGTCCCTCTCCCCTTTCCATATTTCAGTTCCTCCTCTCTTTTCCAAAGCCATCCTACTGTTAGTGTGGGGGTAGAGATGGAGAACGGTTTTGTGGTTGTGTACACTCTTCTGCAGGGATCGTTTTTAGTGCAGTAAACTCAGAGATATGGGCACCAGCCTTTCACCTATCGGGTCCCAGAAGTTCAGGTTCAAGGTGGTTCTAGATTAAGAGAGCTTAGGCCTGGGATGGATAGAGCTCAGGAGTTCAGGGTAACTTGATTAACCACTTGGTATTTCCATACTTTGGAATTCAGGGGACACTGAAATATTCTGCAATCCTGTCGTGTGCTCTGCCCATTCCTAGCCCTAGCTCAGAGCAGCATTTGGGAGAGACTTTTGTTTGGGAGGAAGATTTTTAAGAAAGAATTCAAGGAGTGGGTGGGGTTGTTCAGTGCCATGGAGAAGAGGAGGAGGCTACTGGAGCCAGGGCAGTGGGGAAAGAGGAAGATCTGGGGGAGTAAAAAATATTCAAGTTGAGAGATGAGGTCTGGGTTTCAATCATTAGTTCCCTCAGATCTCTTTTTTCTACTGGCCTAGGGTCAAGGTCATTTCAGTTATCTGAGTTTGTATGCACTATCTTTGTAACCATGAAGGGAATAGAGCAAGGAGTTCTTTCTCCAGGTCCCTTCCCTTATCATCCCAGGGGGATGGGAGCCAAATGTCAGGACATGCAGATGAGACTGTGGGGAAACAACAGGCAGGGGGGGTTGATGGGAGCTTCACCTTCCATCCTCAAGAGCACAATCACATATTCAAATAGGATCCTCCTTGTGGGGGGGGGGAGGAAAGAGAGGGTTTCCAGATGATACTGGACAAAAATTGGGTGTGTCAGGTGGTTCAAGAAAAGGGAGAGGTATCTGAGGACCCCAAACTGAACCAGTTAATCCTTTCTCAGATGTGACTTCTAGTTCACAAGGAGCCCTTCACCCATCATGTTTTTGATGTAACTCATCAAGATGATTTCTCCCTTTTCTAGCTGCTTGGGAGGAGCTGAATTTTCCTATGCTGTGGGTGCTGGGAGGTGGTGGGTGTGGGTGTGGGTGCCTGTTTGGGGAGGGGAGGTGTTTGTGCTCCACTCAGCTCCCTTAGTTACATAACAGCTTTGATAAGACTTTACTTTGGAACTGCTGCTACTGCCTGAAGCAGTCACCCCTCCACCCCCACATGGAATGCTAGATGTCCACCCCCTTCTCCCTGGCCCCTTGGAGAGTCCTGCTATTCATGATCCAGTATCCCAGCAGCTGCTTCCCTACCAGGAAGTGTCTGCAGCATGCCTCGCTGCTCCCTACCCAGCTCCTGTTTTTAAATACTAGCTTCTTTTGTTATTTTGAGCCCAGGTCACCCCCTTTTACATTTTTAAGCCTCCTGGTCAACCCTTTCCCTGGGCTGGGCCCTCAGGCTGGGAAGGGAGGGGTTTGACTTTGCTGAACATCATGAAGTTGCCCTCTAGAAAAGAACAGGGGGATCCTAGGAGGTTTTAGAGCTCAGGGATACTTTTCTTACTGTTTCGTCCTCTGCCTTTTCAACTGTTTTGGAGTTTGAGAGTGGTGGACCATACCCAGAGGTACTGGGAAGAAGGACTCTGGCCTTGATATTTCCTCTTCATTTCCTTTTTTAGAGTTATGTTAAATTGTATATATGGGGGCTGGCTCTTGGATGGGAAGCGATGCACTTACATTACCGTTGCTCCTACCCAGCTAATCTGAGGGAATATTGGTTTCTGTAGTCATGGGACAGGGAATTATAGAGCCTTTTAAAAAAATACCTTTTTTTCCTGAGAGTGAATGGGAATGAGATGTGTCCAGGAGTGGGGTACATCTCATTGATAACAGGAACAACTTTCCAAATGGAAAAGTAGGAGACTGGCAAAAGGAGAGAGCAAATGCAAACTTGTGATGCACATGGACTCCTGGCTTTGTGGACAGGATAGAAGCCAGGGGAGAGGCTGGCTATCTCTGCAGGACCTGTGACTGCAGTGCACATGCATGTGTATTTCTTCCTGTGAGTGGTATACGACTATGTATATGTATATAAGTATATATGAGTTTGTTGTATGTTTGTGTATAAATGCATTTATGTGTATATGTGTGGACACGTGTATGTATGACTCTATATATGCACCCATGTATATTTGTGACTGTGATGTCAAATAATTAAACCAATGCGTGTATGTGTGTGTATGGTGTGAGTGTAAACAATCATGTGAACATGTGTGGGTCATGCATATACATACATGAATTAACAACATATATGTACATAAGTTGAGTCATACATGTGAATACATGTGAGAGAGGGAAAGAGAGAGAGATTGATTCTAAATGAACATTGGGCTACCCCAAAATGCTTTCCCACTAACTTGAATTTGATCCATCCTGCAGCCTGTGGGTCTTCTCCAGAAAGTAGGTCCCCTGAGGTCTCTGAAATTCTCATGTCCTTGAGAGCCAACTGTTCCCCACCATCATCCATCCATATGAGGGGAGTTTGCAAGGGGAAAACCTACACAGGACGGCTGAGTAAGGGATCCAGGCAAAAGGCTGTTCAGATGCTGTAGTGCTCAGAGCATTACATGGGGAAAGAGTACTGGGGCTGGAACATGAACATTACTTATGGAGGTGTCAAAATTCAAGAAGTTGAGCTTAGTGGATAAAAGAAATAGGGGATATTTTATTTTATTTTTGAGTCAGAGTCTCACTCTGTTGCTCAAACTAGAGTGCAGTGGCACGTTCATGGCCACCACATCCTTGACCTGCTGGGCTCAGGCAATCTTTCTGCCTCAGCCATCCAAGTAGCTGGAACTACAGGTGTGTGCCACTATGCTCAACTAATTTTTTGATTTATTGTAGAGATGAGGTCTTGCCAAGTTGCCCAGGCTGGCTTGGAACTGTGAGTTCAGGCAGTCCTCTCACTTTGGCCTCCCAAAGTGCTGGGATTATAGACATGAGCCACTGTGCCCGGCTTGAGATAGGGAATATAAGGGAGTTCCAAGTGTATACATAACTCGCACACATATGGGACCTGTGGCAATACAGTACACGGGTACATGTATATGTGTATATAACTTGTCTATTCTGTAATATGCACATATTGACATAGGTGCACTTTCTTACATGTACTTGCATGAACAAATCTACAAGAGTTCCTATATCAACACAGGGATTTTTCAGCATGCACATACATGCTAACACTCATGGACAGAATATACAGCAACATGTGGGCTTATGCTAGCACTGGCCTGATTGCAACCCACTGGTCATATATGCATGCACTTCACTCACCCAGGTTAGCAAACAGTCCCTTCCCCATCACATGTGCCTCACCCAATGTATCCATTCATTCAACCAATCTTTATGCCTTTAATGTGCCCCTTACTGTGCTAGACATTAGGGATGGTCCTTGACCTCAGATAACTTACAATCTGGAGAAGGTAAAAGACCTAGAAATAAGTAAGGAGAGTATTAATAAAGGTAGACACATATATCCCACTGTCCCACAGGGGCAGTGTGGACCTGAAGAGGGGTAAATTAACCATGGAGTGGGGAAGAGAGAGTTTTGGTAAAAGATCTGTAGAAGGGGAGGGCTTTGAGCTGAGGCTTAAAAGTTGAGCAGGTATTTACCAGGTGAACAGCTGTGGGAACAGGTATTTTGGTGACAGAAAGTGTCCCGACTGGTCTTCCTACTTCCACCCTTGCTGGCTCCACCTTCACAGATTCTTTCCCAAAAAGCAGCCAGAGTAAGATAAGGTCTTGCCTTTCCAATGACTTTCTATCTCACTTGGAGTGAAACCCAAAATGCTCAGTGGGGCCCGAGCGATGCCAGTGCTGTGTGTAAAGTAGCCCCCATCACTTCCCTGATCTCAGGGGTCATGCCTATGCGGGCTTCCTTTCTCTTCAGTAAAGAGCACAGTCCCACCTTGAGGCTGTTGGCGCTTGCTTTTTCACTCAGCCTGAAATGTTCTTCCCCCAGATATCCAGGCAACTTGCTTTCTCACTGTATTCAAGTCTTCGCTCAAAAGTCACATTTTTGGAGAGGCCTCCCCAACAGTCTATCTCAAACAGCCCCTTGTCATTCTGTTCTTGCCCCACTTTATTATTATTTTCACTTTAGTACTTGCCACCACCATGATTTCATATATTTGTTTATCATCCTTCTTTTTCACTAGAATATAAACTTCATGAGAGGAGAGTGAGAGCTAAATCTGTTTTATCCACTACTCTATCTGCTGTGTCCAAGAGAGAACCTGGTTTGGAGTAGGCACTCAAATTATATTTGTTGAATAAACACATTTTAGAGAGCTGTGGCCAGTGAGGAGAAAGGAGTAAGGTGGAACAAGATGCCAGTCAGGGGAGACCAGTTAGGAACTTGTTGTAATAGCTTTGGTGAGAA